TTCTGCTCCACACACCTGAGGTCACTATGCGTTGAAATCAGCTTGACAGCCTCTAACAAGGAAAATAACAATTCGTTGAGAAAAATAATGGAATATTTTTGAAATTAAAAATAATTTATCAGGTTTCCCCAAGTTCTGATTCCTCTGATTTCTTTTGTATTTTTCAGGTAACTGTGGAGAACTTTTTGCGAGTATTAACTGGGAGGATCCCACCTAGTACACCCCGGTCAAAACGTCTTCTTTCTGATGATAGAAGCAATATTCTTATTTATATGACAGGTAATTTCAATTAGCAGTTTAATAATAGAGTAATTTTGAAACTCTTTGAAAAAAATTCACATAGAGACACCTTAAATGATTTTTTATTTAATTTGTTTATTTGTCATACAGTTCTGTTTTCCCTGATCTATAACAACTTGGAATTGTTATCTGTGAACAATGTAGCCTTTTATGCTATTCTCTATTTTCTTATCTCCTTTCTTTTTACTATTGCCCTAATAAAGCTCTTCACCTTTTTCTGAGTGTCTTGTTGCCTCCCTGCCTTCAATTTTGATCGCACATTAATTATCCTACGGAAGTGATAAAAATTGCAGATCTGTTCCTCCTCTGTTTAAAACTATATAATAATTTCCCATTAATTGACTCTCAGATGTTAGTATGTGTGAGGATTACCCGGAATGTAAATTTTTTTGGCCTTATTCTAAAATTTAAATTCAGTTTTGGTTGAGGGCAGGATTCAGGAAACAGAGTTGTAAATTATTCCCCAGATAAGACATTTTTCATAACTTTTTCTTTTAAGTACAGGTAGTCCCTGGGTTGTGAATGTCTAATTTATGGGCAAGTTCAACTTGTCCTTTAATGTTAAGTAAATTTGCCTTTACTTTCAAATGATTGGACCAGCCCTTACATGCAACAAATTCTTCATCACAGTCACTTTCACTTGCTCCATGTACAGCTTTTAAAACATTGAAAAGGCTTCCAGCTTTTTCTTGCACTAAAGTAAGGCTAAATAAGCCTTACTTATTTAGGTATGCACCTGTTCCAACTTACTTATACATTCTTAAAAACAAAGGAACCGTTCTCATTTGTAACCCAGCTACTGACTATGCTTCGAGGAATATTGGAGATAAAGTCTTTCATAAATTTTTCAGTCTCAGTTCTTAAACTTTTGCTAATTCCCTGCGGGAACTTGACTGTTTCTGTTCTGCCAACATTTGCTTAAGCACTTGTCTTTGGTTATAATTAATTACCTCTCACCGCTTTGCCTGCTTGTCTCTTTTTAGTGTCACCTCAGTCACTTGATTCTATAACTTGCTTCTGAGTCTGGGGTGACCTCTGTCCCTAATTGCTTGGGACAGTCCCAGCGTATACCTGTTTGCCAAAGTAGTTATCTTTCCTGCTCAGAAGGGGCCTGGAATGATGGTACATTTTGTAATAGCCCTATATAAGCCCTGTCTCATCTCGTTTATTAGTGTAGCTGTTCCTCTTTATACTCAAATCACTTTCCTGAGTATCTGTTTCCTTCACTACATTTTGAACAAGGTCATTGTTTATGTCTTTTTCACCTTTTTGTCACTAATGCCTGTTCTGTAGTGGTATTCAGTAAATATGAATGTTGATCGAAAGATATTTGATAACTTTTTCAGAGGGCATTCCATTCAACTCTGTGGTCCACAAGCCTAAAACATTTACTATCTGGTACTTTACAGAAAAAGTATGCTTTTCTGTAAGAGACTAGGGACTGATAATAATAATAATAATGTTAATTGGTAGTATTGATGCTTACTGTACATCAGGCAATATTTTAAATGCATTGTATGTATTAACTTATTTAACTCTCACAACAACCTAATGATTTAGGTGTTGATATTTTAAGGCTGCTGTATATTGTTGTATGGGTTGTGCACTGCACACAAGTGTCTGGCCAGGTGGATGAGTAGCAGCTAAGATGTAGTATGTGCTTACATCTCCCAAGGTATGTGCTCTGGCCCAGGATCATGTCTAATGAGATGGAGGAGTACCTTTTTTCTCCTAAAAAGGCAGTCAATAACCATTTGTGAATTCAAAGAGCTGCAAACATTCAGAGGGAACACTGAAATAGACAAGATTTTTTTGCTTTGTTGCCCAGAGGGAGATGTATTTTTAAACTTTGCACAAAAAACTGCATAGCCAGGCTAATGCTTTTCTTGCTGGTATGTTTCTCATTTTACAGTTGAGGAAAGTGAGGTATAGAAAGATTAAGTTTTTTACCTGAGATAACATAGTTGTTGTTGTTGTTGTTGTTATGTGCCGTCGAGTCAAACCCTCCTTGGGTTTCCGAGGCAGTATCACTACAGAAGGTAGATTGTCCCATCTTCCTTCCGAGGAGTGGCTGGTGGGTTTGAACCGCCAGCCTTCTGGTTAGCAGTCAAGTGCCTTAGGCACTATGCTACCAGAGCTCCCAACATAGTAAGTGGCATTTGAATCTAGAAATGCTGGCTTAATACTGCATTCTAAACGTCAGAATCTTTTGGTGAACTCTTGTTATTGATTGTAGTGAAAATATCAATTTTTAGGTAAGCATTGCACTTCCTAGTATTACTAGCATTATAAGTATACGTTGAGGATAGTACTTAATATACCATGCAACTACCTATGGTCTTCAACTCCTTTTTCCCTAAAAGTGTTTGCTTAGTGTGTTAAGGTTGGGAAGTCATTTCTGATAAGATAATAGAGCCAGTGGAAAAATATAAATGTGTTTTTCTGGAATTGAATGATAGGAAAACTCTTAAAGATTTTATGTCTGGTATTTTTATGCAGTCTACCATTATTCTTCTTTTAATTGGTGTAATGAAAAATTAAAATCTTTTGTTTTCACAGTACTTGTTATTTAGTAAAAGATATTAAAATATCACAATGAATGAAGTGAATCTATCAGGATATATAGTTTGCATAAAAAGTCTATTTGATCTTTTTGACTTTTCTTTTAAAGACATGGTGGAAATGGTTTCTTGAAATTTCAAGATTCTGAAGAAATAACTAACATAGAACTTGCAGATGCTTTTGAACAAATGTGGCAGAAAAGACGGTAATTTGCAAATGATTTCTTTTCATAATATAAATTAGTTCATGATTTTTCCATAGTTAGCTTTATGACTCTTAATTTATAGGACTTTAAATTATTTTTATTATTCCTTCTAATATTTTAAGTTTATATTCATTATTCAGGAGCTCTGGTGGTGTAGTGCCTAAGGCACTTGACTGCTAACCAGAAGACTGGCGATTCAAACCCACCAGCCACTCCTCAGAAGGAAGATGGGGCAATCTACTTCTGCAGTGATTCTGCCTCAGAAACCCGAGGAGGGGTCTCTGAGTTGGATCTGACTCGACGGCAGTGAGTTAGTTTAGTTTATTCATTATTTATACTGACCTGAAGTTTTTTCCCCCCTAAGAAAAACTCAGGCTTATTATAGAACATGAAAATAAAGTCAGTCCTTTGAGGTTATATTCTTGTTCTTCAGCATCCTTTTCAGTAGAAATAAAAGTTCTTTCAGTGAAGTTTCCCATCATTATGGTGATTGAAAAAAACTAAACTCACTGCCATAGAGTCGATTCTGACTCATAGTGACCCCCTTTGGGTTTCCAAGGTGGTGAATCTTTATGGAAGTAGATTGCTCAGTCTTCCTTCCATGGGATTAAGAAATTGTATTTATTTTCCATTCCACATTGTACCTGTTCTAAGGATCCCTAGTAGTGTAATGGTTAAGTGCTCAGTGGCTGCTAACTGAAAGGTTGATGGTTCAAACCCACCAACCACTCTATGGGAGAAAGATGTGGCAGTCTGCTTTAATGAAGATTTATGGCCTTGAAGAACTTACGGGGCAATTTTACCCTGTCCTATAGGATCTCTATGAGTTAAAATTAACTAGATAGCAGGGTTTTTTTTTCCTTTGGTGCTTATTCTTACTTTCGAGCACATTATCTAGCTCTTAATGTGATAAAAAACAAAAACTGAATCCATTGCTCTTGAGTTGATTCCAACAAATGGTGACCCTATGTAGTTACAAAATACAACCGAGCTCTATAGGGTTTTCTTGGATGTTATCTTTATGGAAGCAGATTGTCAGACCTTACTTCCATGATACAGCTTGATGGCAGCTGTTTTTTGTTTGTTTAATTTAGTTAAATGTTCACTCGTCTGACTCTGAGGGTTTTTAATCTTCTTGATTATATTTATTATGATATATATATTATATAATATGGGAGCTCTGGTAGCATAGTGGCTAAGGCACTTGACTGCTAACCAGAAGGCTGGACGTTCAAACACACCAGCCACTCCTCAGACGGAAGATGGGGCAACCTACTTCCGTAGTGATACTGCCTTAGAAACCCAAGGAGGGGTCGCTATGAGCTGGGTCCGACTTGACGGCACGTAACAACAACAACAATATATAATATATATTATTATATATATAATATATATGTATATAATATATATGTGGAACCTTGTTATTGTTGTTGTTATGTGCCATCGAGTCGGACCCAACTCATAGCGACCCCTCCTTGGGTTTCCGAGGCAGTTTTTAGGACAGCACAGGTAATGTTCAAATATTGAATTGAATGTTGAATCTTTTTTTGGATTTTTAATCATATGACATGGACAAAGGAGGGGGGAAGTATTAGGATAACCACTTGGGCACAACTACTCCCTGCTGTTAACTTTGCAAATAGCAAGTATTCTGGTTACCCAGTGCCACTTTGACAGTAATATACCCCAAATGAGATGGCCTTAACAAACAGGAGTTTATTTCTCACAATTTGGAGGCTTGAAGTCCAAGTTCAAAGTGCCAGGCTGTAGGGGCTGGGTGAAAGGCCTTCAACCTTGGGGTCCAGTTCTGCCCCCTGCTCCCGGCCCACTGGAGCGAGAGGCATTTCTTCACAAAGACAGCTGCTGGCTGCTGAGGCTGACAAACCCAAGGTCGACAAGTGAAAAGGCACAGTCCCGATGTTACCAAACCACACGGCAGGCCATTAATTTAAGTCCATTGTAAGTCCCAAGGTCGACAGAACATGGCAGGCTGCTGGACAATGACACAGCTACGTGCAAGGTCCAAGCGTGCCATAAGCTAAAGACCATTCTCAAAACTTCTCCTTATACAGGAAGCAGACCACGTACCCACAGCAGCTAGTCAGCTGCTTGTGATAGATCCCACCATGGAGTTGATTGCCGGTTTCATCATGGGGAATAACTACCACCAGCTGCCCAGCCACTCAACCAGGCCTAGCCAAGTTGACGCACAAACATAACCACCATAGCAAGTTTCTACTGAATATTCTGAAAAGTCTTCAAAATTTTTCCCAGTCACTTAACCTGCTCCCTTACTCTGCCTTCACTGGATCTAGTACTTTATCTTCTCATTGGGTGCTTATAACTATAACTGCAATATCATTATTTGCATCTGCTTTACCTAATTACTCAGAATCTCTGTTGATAGAGGGACTAAGCCTGCAGTCTGTTAGAACAATGCCATCTTCCCAATCTCCTGAAAAGTCTCCAAATTTTTAACTAAATGAAATGACTAAGATATGACTTAAACATCTTATGTTATAGAACTGTTAAAAATGTTAATCAGTGTATGATTAACATAATTATTTATGTCAAAGACATTATTTATTTTTTTCAGGTACAATGAACTACTGTTTATTATTGACACTTGTCAAGGAGCATCCATGTATGAGCGATTTTATTCTCCTAACATCATGGCTCTAGCTAGTAGCCAAGTGGGAGAAGATTCACTCTCAGTAGGTGCATTTTTCTCATTTGTGGATTTCACTGTTTCTGAAATTGTACCTGTTTCTGAATTACTTATATGCCATGTGAATATATCTTTTATTTCTTGTTCTTGGACTTTTTAACACCTTTCAAGGAAATGTTAATTATATCTTAAACATTGTGTTATAGCATCAGCCTGATCCTGCAATTGGAGTCCATCTTATGGATAGATATACATTTTATGTCCTGGAATTTTTGGAAGAAATTAATCCAGCTAGCCAAACTAATATGAATGACCTTGTAAGTATTTTCCTGATTTAATTCTAACCTATAGACATACTAATATTAATGTGATGAATGAAGTCTATTATTCCTTGTAAGGTACTATTTCATATGTTGAATTGTGCCCTTTTAGAATGATTTGAATCTACCTTTACAAGTAGTAGTTCTCTCTTTTACCGTGAGAGATCTAAAGCTTGAACCGTTTACTTCCTGTTCTTTGAGGTGCTTTCCTGTTTTCATTTATTTGCTTATGTTCTTTTCTGTACCAGAAATGTAGTTTTTTAGATTCAGCTATTCAAATTCTACCTGTCTTCAGGACTCTTATCAGATCTACTTCCTGCAAGAAGTTTTCCCTCATTCTTCTCAGTTGGATCATTTCTTTACTTTTTCTGAGCCCCTATGGAACTTCTCTTTTGTAGCATCTCTCAATCTATCTTTTATTGAACCTACTCAAAGAATATGAGTGTTTTTCTTAACTTAATGGAGATCTCTTGGAGTAGAGAAACCTCATCTTACATATTTTTGTGTGCCTTACAGCATTTTGGCATCACTTGAATTTAAAAAATTTTTACTGACTATTTTGTGATGATTGTACCTTTTCAACTTTGAAGTTGCTATTGAAAGTAGGTGTGGTAGTTAGGTTGTGTGCCAACTTGGCTGGGCCTGGTTTTGAGTGACTGGGCAGCTGGATGTTGTTATTCCCCATGATAATCAACTCCAGGGCAGAGTCTGCCGGAGCAGCTGAGTAGCCTTAGAGATGTGGTCTGCTTCTAGTAATAAGAAGCAGCTTTGGGAAAGATTTTGGGGGCTTTTAGGCACACTTGGACCCTGTTGGTAGCCAAGTCTTCAGTCAACAGCCTGCCATGTTTCCTCATGCTCTTGGAAATGTCTCTGGATTTGAATTAGTGGCCTGCCATGTTTTTGGTAACCTTGGGACTCTGTCATTTTATTTGTCAAGCTTGGGTTTGTCAGTCTCAGCAGCCAGCAGCTCTGTGAGTTAAGAGATGCCTTCAGCTTCATTGGGCTAGGAGCAAGAAGCAGAGCTGAAGCTCAAGGTCAAGGAGCCTTCACCTAGCCCATAGAGCTGGCCCCTTGAACTCAGACTTCTAGCATCCAAAATTGTAAGAGAATAAAAGTATAAATGGATGTAAAAGTCACCCATTTGTCGAATTTTTCTGTTAGAACAGCACTAGATAATGAAAACAGTAGGCATAATTAAAACTTGAAGCAACAATTCTAAACTGTGTTATTATTGTATATCAATGTTTTTCAGTCTTTTACCTGTAAATTTATACCTTATTCACAAATATTCCTTGAGTGTTTGCTAAGGGCCAGGCACTTGGTATACAATAGTGAAAGAGGCAGATATTATCTTCATCGACCTTAAGAATGAAGGGGAGGCTGAATAGGCAGGGCTCTAGACTCTCAGCACCACTTCAGCTAAGCAGCTTTGTGTTTATCTGCTTTATTATGTAGTAAGATTTTGGGTAAGTTTTCATTTAGTAAAGGGGTTCTACTATAAAAATCTGATAATGACTTCTATAGGCTATTCAATTTGATAGGATAGACCTGTTTACTGTATTTTGAAGGGAATATATATATTTGGAGGGAATATATTTTACATCTTAATATTAATTTAAATATTAAAATGTGTGATAATGTTATTTTAACCATAATAAAATTATTATCACTATATGAGTTTCCTCCAACCTGAGGGGCTCATCTTTGGGCCCTATTTCAGACCATGTTTCACAGCTATTCATAAAGGTTTCCAGTAATATATCAGGCAGTTTCACTGCTACTCATAAGGTTTTCAGTGGCCAGTTTTTCAGAAGTAGGTGGCCCTGTCCTTCTTCCAGTCTTTCTTTGTTTAGAAGCCCCACTGAAACCTGTCTGTGTTAGACTGGGTTCTCTAGAGAAACAAAAAACAGCAAATCTTA